CGCCGGAGAGCGGAAATCCGGGACTTGAGAAACCTCCACCCTCCCGGGGGGAATTTGGAAACGTCCATCTCAAGCCCTCCCTGCTGCAAATCACAACGCACGTGCTGATTTTTTTGTCTTCTGAGCTTTTTGGGGAGCAGGGAGGGATGAGTAGATCTAGACTTGTGCAAAACTTTGGGGGAAAAGAAAGGATTTTAGCAACAGCATCCCTGGGCCGGTGCGTTTTGAGCAAGCCTGGCAACCAGGAGCATGCTTAAGAGCTTCCCAAATTTTTGGTGATGCCAATAAGCAGCCCAAGAGATGGGATGAGCACCTGCAGGGTCCAGTCCTGCTCTGTCCCCCAGCCCTCAGGTGAACCTCCACACCATGTGGGCTACTGAAAGGAAAGGGCTTGGGATGCCATCAGCACCCCTGACTCCCCAAAACCCCTTCCAACCCTACCAGCCCTTACACAGCTGAGCTTAGCCAGAGAAAATCCTGCTTGGATTTGAGATTTTTCCCTTGGATAAGCTCCTAATTCAATAAAGCAAACGCCACTTGCAACTGCTCTAATACTTTTATTAAAGATGTAGTGTGTAGATTTTTATTATTATTGTTTGAGGGGCAGGAGTTTAACTCCTGGCCTGGCCAGCAAAATGTGAGAGGAAAAAAAAAAAAGACCTGGGAAAATGTTCTTTATTGTCCCCTATTCCCAGTTCCCAGCTCTCTGCTCTAATTCTCCAGTTTCCCAGCATGTTACCCCATTTATTTTCACCCCTTCCCAGCCCTTTCTGGCTCTGCTTTTATGCTGCAACTGGGAATGGGAAAAGCCCTGGCTCTGGGGTTGATCCAGCCTGGGGAGCTGAGGGATGAGATGGGAAATCTTCCTCTCTTCCTCCTCCTTGGCAGGCCACCGTGGTTGTGCAAAGCCCCCCCAAAATGCTGTGTTTTCTGCATTTCCCTAATTCAGGCATGGCTTTTTTTAGCCTCATTAAAAATGATGCTCATTCCCTGATCCTGCTTCCACTCAGGGATATTTAGGGGGGGGATCTCTACAACGCAAAGCATCTCCCCCATCCTTACCTGGCTGACTCTTTCCACTCCATCTCCTCGCCGTCGTGCTGCAGCGTGTCCATCTCCGTGAAGAGCGTGGGGTTGGGAGGCTCATCGTCTTCCCCCAAGATGTAGCGGAGGCGTTCGGCAGCTGGTGACACTGCCGGGGGGCAGGAAAAAAAGAGGTTTACCATCAGCTGGAGATGAGGTGATCCTGCACCATTCCCATAGGGAAAGCCTCAGAGGGGTAAAGTGGGATCTGTAGGGCTATTTAGGATCCTGGTGTCAAAAAAGGAGATTTTGAGGAAAATATTTAAGGTCAGAGACATTGAGGATAGGAAAAACTCTAAGTCATCCCATCTCAAAATCCCTGTGCAAAGAGATATGGGATGCTGGTGGAAAGGATAAGCGGAGGCTGCGTAGCAGCCAGGAGGGGAACACAGAGGCCCGCGGCCGCCCCTGTATACAAAACAGTCAAATTCCCCTTCCAGGAGCATTATGCACCCTGTTTCCACGGGGTATCCCACATTTTTCCCTACCACGGAGCCCGATTTTGCCAGGTTAGAGCCTCCCGCCATCAGCAACCAAATCCTTACGGTCTCCGGCACTGCGTAGCGGGACGCACGAGTGCTCGGCACACGTTTTCCCACCGGATCCCCGAGGGGAAAGTGTATCATTTGAGGGGAAAAAAAAAATACAAATTTACCATTTCTGCAGGAAATATCCAGCTTCTTGCTGCAAATAACTGGCCAGGCTGGGGAGGGCACTTACTGCCTCCTGCTCCCTGCGGAGTGTTTGAGGAAGGGGAGCAGCGACACATCACCTGCCTGCAAACCTCCGGACTGATGGGAAAAGGGGTTTTCATCTTCGCTGCATTCCCGAAAGCCACAGGAGGGTGACGGACCTGCCCTTTCCTCCCAAAAAAACGAGCCAGGCTGGGTTTTCTTTTAACCCTCTCCATCTTCACGTGTTTTTCTAGCAAAGCCTCGTAATTTTGGGTGCAGGGAGGAATTAAACACCTGGGTGTGAGCCTGGATGCGGCACGGACAGGACCTCTCCCTGGTCACCCGGTTATTCAAACAAGAGGTTAAAATCAGCCCTACGCCTGGAAATGGTGTATTTTTAATAAAATCTTGGGTCTTAGCCCTCTCTTAATACAGCAGGAGTTAATCCAGCTCAGAAAATGTCTTTGTTAGCAGAATCCTCCTGTTCTCAAACCTGGGAATAAGAAAGTCAGGTAACACGGTACCCAAAAGAGCGGGGAATTAAACTGCCGTGTGTGAGCAGAGGGAAAACCAGGAATATTGTGCCCTGTCCCCCTTTGGAAGGAGCAGAAACCCAAGTCGTGGGGCCGTGAAAGAATTGGATGTCCCTTGCGCTCTAGGCTGAGCCTGCTTAACCGCTTAAGTCCTTTAAGCCCCACCACCAGGACTAAAGCCCTGTTGTCAAGTCCTCCTTCCACTTCCATAAGCTTCATTATTATGATTATTAATATTCCTGTTAATTTTAGAGCTGGGCTACATGCCTGGAGGGCTTCAGGCTCTTTCAGCCTAAGTGTTGTTCGCGTAAGAGGGGATGAAATTGGTGCGATACTGGCAACTGCCCCCCGCCCCCAGCTTCACGCCGTCTGCTTTGCTCTGCAGCCCAAACTTTAATTTCCCTGCAAAACCTCAAATTCATTCAAATTGCAACGAGCTGGACTACAACAACAACAACAACAACAAAACAACAAAAAAAAGGGAGCTGGAACTATTCATCTCAGGCGGCTGCATTTCTAAAAAAAGGGGGATTTGCCATTTTGCAGGGGGCGGGGGTGGAGGGGTTAGAGCTTTGCAAGTCCTCAACTTGGTGGTTGCTGCTCCCAGCTCTGCCCAAATTCCCTCCTCAGGTGGTTAAGAAAGGGTTCCTCTGCTTCGACCTGCTGGAGGGTTCCCCCAGCGACTTGTTTTGGGGTATTGGGGCTGCGATTAGTTTGTAACGCACTTTAACCACTGGAAACCACAAAAGATAAAGGAAAGCTTGCACATAAAGAGCTTTTTTGGGGTTTTTTTTTTAGCTTTTTACTCCAGTTTAAGGAATAAACCCGTCTCTCAAGACATAACATGTGCTTCCCGGCAGCAGCCGCCTCTGCTCCTCACCGCTCACTGACCCGAGCAAAGAGCCGGTTGCTAAACCAACACCACCAGGGCTTGGCCGCGCAGCCAAAATTCATGGGGTTTATTCACCTGGAGGACCCTTTTGTGCCCGGGAAAGCACCTGGCCTGGCATCTGGTTACAACCCAGCTCTCCGTGGTTTGTTTTGTTTTTTTTTTTTTTCCTCCTGGAAATTTGATCCAGCACTAAATTAATCCCAGCAAGCAGCAGGTATTCCCTTGGGAGAACGTACTGTACAGCGGCGTCCAGGGTTTGGCACCTCTGGGGAACGCAAGAATAAAACTGCTGCAACGACACTGGCCGAAATCCACAAAGCTGCCCCAAAATGGGCACCTGTTTCTTGCAAGACACACTTCAACGGGGGCCCCAGCGCAGATCCGTGCCTCTCCGAACCAGCGTTTACGATGGGAAAACACTGGCGGCTGCCGTTCCGGCTTTTCACCCATCCAACCTCCAGCGTGATTTCAGCCACGGTGGATCCGAACCGAGCCCACAGCCGCAGAATTAGCTCAGCAGTAACGCCAGGGACAACCGAGGATAATTTCACGTACACGAGACCCTCCATTTCACGGGTAATCGGCCAGGCCAGGCCAGTCGCGCTGATTTATACCTCCTTGAGGGCGTACGGAGCCCTTCCCACCCCAACTTTGATCGAGCAGTAAAACCTCACCTGGTGAGGCTTTTCCAAACCAAAAATCCCTCTCTGGCTTTAGGGGCAATAAAAAAAAAAGGTGATAAAATGGGGGACGAGGGAAGGTGGTGCTGCCTGGGGTTTGCAACGCCGCTGGGCAGCGGGACTAAGCCTTATTTAAGTCTCCAGCACATTAACCATTGGCTGTTGTGGTCCTTCTGAACACAGAACAGCCTTTCCCAACATTTCAGGGCTCAGAAGGGTCCCTTCCCCTCCCCCCCCCCAAAAAAGAGACCAGTGTGCACATATCATGGGATTAGATGCTTCATTCCTATTCAAGAAACCTCCAGGTCTGGGAGACTTTTCTCCTTCCAAATATCATCTTTTCTGCTTCCCTGCTGCTGGAGAGCAGTGGAAGCCAATACAGTTCCCCACCCCCCCTACCCCATTATATTTTTCGGGTGAGCTTTGGCGCTTGGGGCCCTGAGCGAGTGCTCAACCCAACCCCAGGCAGGCTCCCAAGTTGTTTTTACAAGGGAAAAGCAAAGTCAAAAAAAAATAATGGAGCCTTTCTCCCCCTCCAGCTCGCCCCGCCACGGACGCCAAAGAGCCATGGAAATAACCTACCTGGAATCGTTTCCAGTTTTTCCCCCATTTCTTCCCGGCTAAACCAAACCTTCGCTGCACGGTACCAAAAAAAAACCCCAAACCTCCAAACTTCCTCCTTTATCCACTCAGGCTTGTTAAACTCCCAAGGCTTAAGGAGCAGATTATAGAGAATATAAAGCACTTTCCTCTCCCTTTGGCTCTCATGACGGGAAGTTACCAAATCAAACGGGATGCGTGTAGGAGAGGTGAGCGCTTTGGGTGGCAGCGGGACGGAGCGAGCGAGAAAGGGGAGGGAGGGAGAGGTGGGAGGACAGAACTCAACGCTTTGGGGTTATTTTGTGGAGGGGTTTTGTTTCCCAACCGGAGCGAGCTGGGAAAACCCTCTCCAAGCTCAGGATAGAGATTTTTTTTCTGGGGAAAAACACCCAAATGAGGGAGATTTCCTGGGGGAAAGCAGGGCTGCTGGAGAGTTGAGGCTTTTTGGGGTGTTTTTCCTCCATAAAATGACTTTTCTCTCCCCCAAACCAGCTCAATGTTATATCCTGGTGGCATTTACTGCCTGCGGAAAGGAGGGGACGAGGGCTGGCTTGCGCCGCCACCGAAGGCATGAAGGAGCTGCGAGGGATGCCCGCTGCAAATAAAAAAACCTCTCCCCGAGCAAAAAAAAAAGGGGAAAACTTTTCCTTCCGCAGGGAAAAGCAAAGCCAAGCCCCTGCCCACTCTGCTGAGCCGCGACGTGCTCTGCTCAACATAAACCCAAATGCAAATTTCTATAGGGGAGGGGTGGAAAAAGAACCCCAAACCCCAAGAGATCGACAGCTACTTTGCTGTGTAAAATGTTAATCTTCGCTAAGGAGATTTAACGAGACTGGGCAAAGCCTCAGGCAAAAGCTTGTCGGGAACAAGGTGTGATGCCCAGAGGACGTCTGCAGCGCTGGAACCCCACTGTACCCCTGTTTCCCTGTTAGCATCCTCCCAAGGGCAAGGGCAACCTCTTTTTAGCCCACCCATCACCTAAGCAGCCTCAAATCCCATTTCACACCCTGTGCCTGGTTCTCAGAGACAGCCACCGGGAAAAATAAACCTGGAAAGCCTCGGGAAAAGCTGCGCCAAACGTAAACGCCGGACCAAGCAACACGGGGGCAATTTAATGATGAAACGATGCTGCAAACCCCCCTCTTGCTTTTTTTGGGAAGCTCAAGGGCGACTTACTGGTCCTGCTGGCG